AATACCCTAAGGCACCAGATCTCATCTGAGCTTGGAAGCTAAGAAAGGGCAGCCCTGATTAGAACTTAAATGAGAGACCACCAACAAATACCAGGTGTGTAGGCTATATTTCAGAGGAAGGAACTGGCAAAACCACCTCTGATGATTCCTTGCCCAAGAAAACCCTGTGAAAAATCTATGGGGTGCTGTAAGTTGATAGACAACTTAAAGGCACATACACCCTCATCCCTCTTTATGAACTTGTGACTGACCAGTCAGGGAGAAGACAACTATCCATTGATCACAATGCCTGAGTTAAGTGGGAAAATACCAAGCACCAGGCTACACAGATTTTGACATTTACAGCTCATATTACCAAAAGTGAAAATGTATTCATCTTTGAAACTAACATTGAAAGCAACTTATAACTTAAACTTTGCAGAGTTATCAAACTGAGGAGGAAAGCACACTGTTCACAGCCAAGCCACATGCTGAACTTGCACCAAACATTATTTATTGTGTTAGCATGTTCTCCTTTACACTTCTGTGATCAGTTGTGTATAATGAAGTCCACATGTGCTGGACATCACAGATTATGGAATGCAGATTCAGAGTTTTAAATGCTTTATTGTCCCTCCAGAGACCTTCTTGGCCTCAGAAAAACTGCATCACAGAAATATAGAATCATAGGATTGGAGGATATTTTGAGGAGCATCATAACCAACCACTTGCAGGAATATGCAATCAAAACACCTGCGACAGATGGCCATCAACCTCTGCTTAAAAACCTACAAAGAAGGAGACTTCACCACACTCTAAGGAAGTGTTCTATTGTCAAATAGCTCTTACCTTCAGGAAGTTATTCCTAATGTTGAGCTGGGATCACTTTTCCTGTAGTTTTAATCCATTGTTTGAGATCCTAGTACAGTGGTAGCGAACCTATGGCACATGTGCCAGGGGAGACACTCAGAGCCTTCTCTGTGGGCATACGTGCCATCAGACCAGCACAAAGTTCACCAGAGTTCATTACTAAAAAGCCAGAGGGACATGGCACTTTGCAATAAGTAAGCAGGTTTTGGGTTGCAGTTTGGTCACTCAGTCTCTAAAAGGTTTGCCATCACTGTCCTAGTCTCCTGCAGCTGTAGAAACAAACTTGCTCCATCTTCAGTATGATGTCCTTTCAAATATTTAAACAGGTTTACCTTATCACCTCTTAACCTTCTCTCCTCCAGGCTAAACATATGCAATTCCCTAAGTCATTTCTCACAGGTCATGGTTTTCAGAACTTTCACCATTTTGGTCGCCCTCCTCTGCACATGGTCCAGCTTATCAATATCCTTTTTGAACTGTGGTGCCCAGAACTGGACACAATATTCCAGGGGCCTGATCAAAGTAGAATAGAGTGAAACTATTACCCGTATTTTCCGGCATATTAGACGACTAGGCGTATAAGAGGAACCCCAACTTTTCCAGTGAAAATATAGAGTTTGGTATATACTCGCCGTATAAGACTACCCCTCTTCCACCGGGGGAGAATGAGAAAGAGTTGGGGGAAAGGACTGCCAATATACCAGGTGATGCATTCTGGGGTATGTACAATTTGTGGCCAAGTAAGTGACCCTGGGCATGTCACACACTCTCAGCCTCAGAGGATGGTAATGGCAACCCCCATTTGAAAAAACATGCCAAGAAAACCCCATGATAAGGTTGCCTTAGGGTCGCCATAAGTTGGAAAGGACTTGGAGACACACAAGAACAACAAAAAAGTCTGCAATTGTTTCACAGGTAGTACATGGGAATAGGAGCCAGCATGGTGAAGTGGTTTGAGTGTTGGACTACCACTCTGGAGACCTGGGCTTGATTCCCCATTCTGCCATGAAACCCACTGAGTGAACTTGGACAAGTCACACACTCTCAGCCTCAGTGAAACCTCCTCTGAACCAGTCTTGCCAAGAAAACCCCAGGATAGGGGTTCACCTCTTATCCACTGCTGCTTCCTCCTCCTGCCTTATGCCACACCTTCCTCATCCTCCTCATCCTCCTCTAACCTGGACTTCCTCTCTTCCTCCTCTTTCCGCCTCACACCACTCCACCCCTTCTTCCTCTTTCTCCTCTACCCGGCGTATAAGACGACCCTTGACTTTGGAGAAGATTTTCCTGGGTTAAAAAGTAGTCGTCCCTTGTTCTAGACACTGTACTTCTGTTGATGCAGCCTAGGGTTGCATTGGCTTTTTTAGCTACCACGTCACACTGTTAACCCATGTTCAACTTGTAGTTACTAAGACTCCTAGATCCTTTTCATATCTATTGTTGTTAACCAGATGCTCCCCATTTTATATTTGTGTATTCCAATTTTTTTCTACCCAAGTATAGTACCTTATATTTCTCCCTGTTGAAATTCATTTTGTCAGTTCTGGCCCAGCTTTCTAATCTTTTAAGTAATTATTAATTTTGAATCTGTCCTCAGGGATATTAGCTACCCCTCCTAATTTGGTGTTATCAGCAATTTAATAAGCATGTCCTAGATTTCTTCATTCAAGTCATTTATAAAGTTGTTGAACAGCACTGGTTCCAGGACAGAACCCTGTGGCACCCTACTAGTCACTTCTCTCCAGAATGAAGAGGACCCGTTGCTGAGCACCCTTTGGGATAAGATAAAGAATCCAGGGTGTACAGTGTTACTTTAAGGTAATCTTGAGGTTATCCAAAACATTTTGACAATTACAAAGCAAAGTGATTCTAGACTTGTGAACTTTCTAAAATGTTGTGGAAACTTTCTAAAATGTTGATCCCTGTTCACATAAAATTCATTTTACTTTGCTTGATTTTCCTCTTGACAAAAGCTGATTGAGGGACTTACAACATTTTTGTTGTTAAGATCCTTTAATGTTTATCTGTTCTGGTGTTGCTGTTTTGTTTTGCATGTTATTGTTTATAGATTTACCGTAAATACTACTCTCTTGGCACATTTTAATGGCAAGGTAGAATCAAACTGTTAAAAAAAGTATTAAGGGGCAACAAGATGGCATTTTTAAAATACTCAGTTTAATTGTACATAATGCTGTGATAAATAGGACAAATAGTTATCTGAACTATGGATACTCTAGTTAACTAAGCTTTGTATGACAATATTTTAAATAGAAAAAAAGCCCTGTGGACCTTGGCTTTTCCTTTAAACTTTGCAGACACCACCCAAGATGTTTTCAGTGGAAACTTTCTAAAATGTTTTTGCATTCTAATAATGTGCATTCAATACATACAGCTTTTGAGCTTCCATTCCAAGGGACAAATGTAGCATAATCCTGTAAGATTATTTCCTGAACAGTCAGAACTTGACAGAATACTTGAAGAGAGAAAAATTAAATTCATTTCACAGTTCGCTGAAGTGAAGTCGTAGGCTTTCATGGCCGGCATCCATAGGTTTTTTGTGGGTTTTTTCGGGCTGTGTGGCCATGTTCTAGAAGAGTTTCTTTCTGACGTTTCGCCAGCATCTATGGCTAGCATCTTCAGAGAAAACTCTGAAGTTCGCTGAAGGTTTAACAACATGGGTTAAGGTTCAAAATTATGTGTGACTGCCTGCCACACCCAACTTATGATACTTGTATTAATAAGTTCGGTTAATACGTACAGTAAGAATCAAACTTGTCATTTCTGGAAAGAATCACAGCTTACCAATAAAGCATACCGCATGCAAAACATGACAGTTCAGTCACTGCCTTCCCTGTTGCATGAAAGGCAATCACAGATACTGCACAGAGAGTTGATTCAAGTTCCCCTTTAGAATAGCAAAGCTGAGTAATGTATGCGTGTAGAATGAGTACAACAGATGAAAAGCAGTAATTCTGCAAATTGTGCCATATAGACTAAGAGGCTACTACAAATAGTTCATGGACAATCTCCACTAAACTGTTGAACTATATTTATTATAAAGCAGTAACTGAAGGCTAAAGGAAGTACCAAGCTTGGATGCACTCACTTATCCTGAAGGTTGACAAACCGAACCCAAAGGTTATTCAACAATGGCTCCTCTTCATCCTGGAGAGAAGTGCTAACAGGGTGCCATAGAGTTTTCCTCTGGCCCAGTGTTCTTCTACATCTTTATAAATGACTTGAATAATGGAATAGAGGGCATGTTTATGAAATTTGCAGGTAACATCAAGTTAGGAGGGGTAGCCAATACCCCAGAAGACACGGTCAGAATTCAAAATGACCATAACAGATTAGAAAACTGGGCCAAAACTAACAAAATGAATGTCAACAAGGAGAAATTTAAGGTAGTGCACTTAGGAAGAAAAAATGAACTGTATAGATATAGGATGAGGGAATGCTTGGCTTGACAATAGTACATGTGAAAGGGATCTAGGAGTCTTAGTGGACCATAAGCTGAACATAAGTCAGCAATGTGATTTGATAGGAGTATAGTGTCTAGATCAAGGGAAATAATAGTACCACTATTCTGCTTTGGTCAGACTTCACCTGTAATATTGTGTCTAGTTCTGGGCACCACAATTCAAAAAGGATGTTGATAAGCTGGAAACCTACCTTATGAGAAGTGGTGTAGGGAGCTGGGTATGTTTAATCTGGAGAAGAGAAGGTTAAGGGGCAACAAGATGGCATTTTTAAAATATTTGAAGGGACACCGAACAATGGGTTCTAGCTACAAGAAAAGAGATTCCACCTCAACATTAGGGAAAACCTCTTGACGGTAAGAGGTGTTGGACAGTGGAACACACTCCTTCGAAGTAAAGCTGTTCCCATCAACCTCCATCAGCATATCAACAGGATTGGAAGATAGCATGTGTAACAAAACCTTCCAGATAAACCCCAGTGGTACGTAACTAGCCATTATAATTTTCTAATAGTCTCCTCTACCTGTTGTGCATGTTAGCTGTTTACTGGCATTGTGGGCTCTAAAGAGAACCTATTGTGAAGTTTTCTTGGCAAGATTTGTTCAAAGGAGGTTTGCCTTCCCCTGAGGCTAAGAGTGTATGACTTGCCCAAGATCACCCATTGGCTTTACATGGCAGAGCTGGGAATCAAACCCTGGTCTCCAGAGTCACAGTCCAACACTCAAACCACTACACCACACTGGTGTGTGGGCATACACACAAGTTAAACAGCTAACACAAAGCCAGCTGAGGAATTCTTCAATATCTCCTCAGTAACTATGGCCGCTTATTCAACAGTGCCAGGCAGTGTGCAAACCAACTTGATTTATTTAACAATGAGACATCAGTTAAGTCAGATTTTAATTGGTTTTGGAAAAATAAAGAGCCCAAGATTTACTGTAAACGATCATCTTAACAGGATTCCCACAAAGTTTGCAGACTGCACAGTTCAAAGGATTTCACTATGAAACTGTGAGCTTCAGTCAAAGCTAGGGCAAAAGTTACCAATTAATACAAAGCTTGATTTGAAAGGTACACATTAAAATGTCCTTCCTGATGCAGTCCTAACCAGCACAGCCAATGGAGAGGACTGAAGCCAAACAATCTGAAGAGCCACACAATTCCTACACCTGCATTCAAAGGACAAAGGTATGCAATTGCAAGCCCTTCCTGATTTAGGAACTAGCACCACAGACTGTACTGTTTAAATCAGGGGTAGGCAACCTTTCCCCTTTAAGGGCCGAGGGACTTCAGCTCCCAGAAGCCTCAGCCATGTTGGCCAATAGTCCCATGTTGGCCAATAGCTCCTGGGATTCTGGGAACTGAAGTCCCTTGGCCCTTAAAGGGGAAAGGTTGCCTACCCTTGGTTTAAATGAACACTACCATACTGTCAAGGATAGGCATTTCTCAAAGTTCCTCCCTACCCTACTCTTAAATTTATGATTCAATTCAGGTGTGTATCTTTGTCACTGCAGAGAGCAAGAATCACCTGGTTCACAACTCTTTTTGGCTTTAGTCTGGTGAGGAGATTAAAATATATGGGAGGGAATCAAAGCTTTCCCTTGTGGGTTTAAAAAAAATAGTGTAGTGTGTTTCTTTCAAAAATATGAACAGGTGTTCTATAGTTTAACAGAATCTGGGTACGGATGGAGAACAAAAAAATGTAAGGCCAAACAAGTTTGGTAAGTATATAAATAACACAAGTGTTTGAGACACAGCAGCTATTTTTCTCTTAATTCTATTCCCATCCTCCCCATCTCCAACTGTAAATCTTAACTGTGGTAACTCTCCCCTTCACTAAATTCATCTCCCTCCCTAATAACTAATAGTACCTGCTCGCTTATGTTCCCTTGCTTATTCTCACATCAGATTTACTAGCCCCTCCCCTTAAGTCTCTAGCAACAAATGCCAAAATAAGCATGGAATACAATAACATTGAGGTGAGTCATCTATTTGATCAGGGATAGGGGATCTCTTGCCCTCCAGGTGCTTTAAAAGAGAATTCTCACAACTCCTTACCATTGGGTAGTGCTGAAGTGAGCTAATAGGAGTGTATAGGAATATGAATATGTAGGATTGCTACTGTAAACCTACTGAAATATGGTTTCACTCATCTTTGTCCTCCCCTCAAAATAAGTATGCAAGTTCCAGCTACAAAAAAAGTAACATTTTGAAAGATAAGCCCTACTCAGTTGTGGTGGTGGAGGAGACAGTTCTTCCTACCATATCTCTTGTCTAATAGTAGAGGCGTTAAACCAGGATTATTATTTCATACTAGATCATGCACCTTAGGTTCAGCTGAATATACTTGCACAGAACAAGGAGTGTGCATGTTTTTACAGTGTTATACGAAGTAGAATAACACCCCTTTGTATATGTTTTTATGTTTGTAAGCCGCCCTGATTGGATTTCCAAAGGGCGGGATATAAATAAATTTTATTATTATTATTATTATTTATTACCCCTTTAAATGGTCATGCAAGTATTTCAACAGCAAATATTGCTAAAATAATGCAAGTTACTGTTTCAAAAATAGTTCTATACCCATCACTAGCTTAGTATTAACATCAAACATCAATATCCCAAAATTCACGAACAAACTTCTTCACAATGTGTGCAAATTGATACTGGATTGGACATATCGTATATTGATTTATAGAATAGAAAACTGTAGAAATACAATCACAGCCATGTATGTATTTTCTGGCTAAACTTAAACTGAAAACCTAGATATATTTTGTCCATGGTGAAGTATATGCCATTTTTATAACATCATTATTGGAAACAGTTTCCTCCATGGTCAACCATTAGCCATGTTTGCTGGATATAGTGGAAACTATTATCAGATACACATCTGGAAGACAGCAAATATCTTTAGGAAAGGCTGTATATCTTACAGAACTTCCTCTGATATCATTTCCTGATATTGGAGCTGCATGTTTCAGTCAACTATTCACCTAATTCCAGCTTCTGAAGCCTATTTAACACTACAGACTGGTCCAAGATGTCCTGTTTTAAAACTTCAGAATGGTCTTGGCTGTCAATGACTCTGATATGTAGGAAAGACATGTAACCTTCAACTGTCTAAAACAGGGGTAGGCAACCTTTCCCCTTTAAGGGCCGAGGGACTTCAGCTCCCAGAAGCCCCAGCCATGTTGGCCAATAGTCCCATGTTGGCCAATAGCTCCTGGGATTCTGGGAGCTGAAGTCCCTCGGCCCTTAAAGGGGAAAGGTTGCCTACCCCTGGTCTAAAAAATGCAAGATTCTAAATACTAAAAATTGGCCAGAGATCAAATAGAGTTGTGTAGATTAGTATGTTAGTGAATTAATGTAATACATAATGTACTTCAAGAGTCTGAATATATATTGACTGCTGTTTCCTAACAGATACAAGAAGAAGACTCCACAAGCACTCCAGGCAGCAGATTCCATTAACAGCAAATTAAGCATATCTTTCATTAAACAGAATTCTCTGCTTTTGTTAAATCATGAGGACACAATGTGAATAGTGTTTTTTTTATTATTATATTTAAAGACTGTCAGCAAGATGTTCTTAGTGATATTATTTTCTCAGTGGCAAACTATTTTTTAGCTTTCACTTCCATATGTATGCAAATTCCACACCACTTGTAAATGTTAAATCTGACCTCAAAGATTTGGGACAGCCCAGTGATAAAATGCATATTTTTACATTCAATAGCTCCCACGCTGAATCCCTGACACCTCCAGGTAGGTCTGGAAGACACTCCTGTCTGAAAGCCTGACAATCTCACCAGCAGAAACAATGCTGAACTAAACAGGCCAATGGCTTCACTGGATATAAAGCAGCTTCCTATGTTCAGCATTGACAAACTGTGATGTTTTGTTTCCTCCTTTCTAGTTATTCCATCCTATGATGGGTGACAACCATAAGAGAGGGTAAATGAAACCAAAGCTTTAGGTTTTCTTTGGAGCCTGTAAATGAATGCCAGTGTTTTCAAGTTGCAACAATTTAGAATTGTGAGATTATTAATTTGGGGGGCAAGCAGAGTGTGGAAGTAAATATTATTAATAATTAATTCAATTTTTTTAAAAAGATATAAGTACATTACATTACTGTTTTTGTAGTAATAGGTATGCAGCCTTACTATATGGCAGAGGAGAGGTATTAATAGTCAAACTGCTGGCTGAGTGTTGTACCTCATACTTTGCTGCCACTGGAGTAATCAGGTAGACAAGGGAGGAGGTAGAAGGGAGTGCGATTTGTACCACAGGCTAGATGCTTTTAGCATTTGTTTTTAAATTAATGAAAGGCACCTAGTATTTTCATACTCAGTAAAACAAGAACTTCCTTTTTTAAAAATGGCACCTACACGGTGCCATTTAAAATAATGGGAAGTAAATTTCCCCTTCATAAAGTGAAAGGGAGAAATTTCCCCTTTAAAACTAACTACTGGGAAGGGGGCTTCTAAATATAACTCATATCTAATTACTGTATTTTCTGGTGTATAAGACGACCCCGCATTTTTCAGGTCAAAATATAGAGTTGAGCACCTCTATCCTCCTTATCCTTATACCCGGCGTATAAAACGACCCCCCCACACTTTAACCACAGATTTTGCAGGTTAAAAAGTAGTCTTATACGCAGGAAAATAAGGTACTTAAAAGTTAATTAAAAGTTAATTAAAAAGTAACTTTCCACTCCAGGAATGAGGGAGTTCTAGCCTTCACCTCTCTTTTTAGGTTTAACATCAACCATACACCACTGTACTTTTAACGAATCTCTTTGGAGAAGTGTTGAGCCTGCATTCATCACTCATTTCATTCTAAGGATCACTGCTGTGTATCTACTATTGCTCAGACCCAAAGCTGGCATGCTGGATGGCATTCTTCCATGTCAAGTTTTTTTTTTTTCTTTTCATTGGTTTTGTGGTTTGTGTTGGGCTTCCCATAGACACCACATACCCATTAATTGACCATCTCTTATTGACCACAGTCATTGTCAAAGATTTGATGAAGCTGATAATGCCACCATGAAAGTGGCAGGTCACAGATTGCATACAGTCATCATCACCAAGGACAGGAGTGCTAGCATCTTGTCCTGATAGAAACCCTGCAACAGACAGGGGCAAGCTCAGCAGCACAATGTAGCTGTTTCCAAAATGTGAAAACAAATACTCATCAGTCAGAAAGCTACTGCTATAGCTTCCATCTTGCTGGCTTCAGAAACCAGGAACCATCCATATGATTGGTTGTCTGCTCTGAAGAACCTCCAACCATTACTGATAGAAAATGTCAATAAAACGTCTACTGTGGTCATGGAAGGGGGACCTTTAGGTATAATTGCTATTCCCTCCCCCATGACTAGCAAAACTAGAATAAAGTTACGAAAATAAACTATGCAAATGTAGCCAATTAGCCTGATTTCTCAGGCCAAGAGATTAGCTTTTCATAGCAGAGAACTTAGGAAGCTTTAGTTAAGAACTGCTTTAATTATGAAGCGCAGTTGCCTTTAACTATGGTTCTGCTATTTACCAACTGATAGCTAGTTAAAATATCACAACTGTAACCTCAGAAAGTGATCTGTCTCCCAAAGGTATGAAGCAATTTGGTGACCATAGCAACAGAGTCAATGTATCCCTTCTAAGCAAACATTGCCAGATCTACTGAATTATCTATCAAATCACGGATGTGCCATTAGGCAAAGTGTGCTAGAAAGCATGGAC